AGACTGATTCGAGGCGTGCTTACTTCTGTTTTTCTCTTTAGACCCTTGTTTTGGAGGTGGAGAGGGGCGCCGTGAGCAGAAACGGACAGTCCTTTACAAAAAGATGCTAAAAAAGTATCGAAGGTATCGCTCTAAGCACAGAGCGTTGGTTGAACGGGGGCAGTCCCAGTTGGAACGTAGGGGGGCCGAGCTGGAGGAGGCGGATAGCGAGCTGATGAAGGGCGTAGCCCGCAACAGCGAGTTGGAGGAGCTTCTCAGAACGAAAGATGACGAGCTTGAGCTGAGCCTTGGGGTGGCAGCGGAGAACGTCGACCTGCAGCGGAGGGTGGCAGATTTAACCGCCGAGCTCGATGCTAGGATGGCAGAGAATAATGGACTTTCTCAGCCTTCCTCATCTCATCCTTCGCCTGGTCGGGGTATGCGTTGTAACGCGCATGAGATGTGGGTATTTGCGGAGGCCAAGCTCGACGTATATAGGGAGCTTCATGCCGCGGGCCGGGCGACGGAGGAGGAGGTTTGGGCACGACGAGACGAGGCTCGTGCTGCTCGTGAGGCCTGCGGTTATTACCCCGACTCTCCTGATGGGGAGGGGCCTGCTTCTGAAGACGTCAACCGGCTCGACTCCAGCTCCTGGTACAATGACGTTTACTTCCCAGGGGGTGACGGGCAGTCGTGAACTTGTATAGTGTATATTTTCTTTTTTAGGCTTGTATAGTGTGTTGGAGCTCGTCCATGGGGGCGGATGTAAATATATTTTTGTTGCAATATAGATTTTATTTTTATTGCCTCGTCCATTTGGTGTTTCCCCTTTATTTTTCTTTTGTAGTGTTTAACCTCCGTAGATATTGTTCTTATCATTCGTCGAAGGATCGTGCCGTGACTCGAACGAGGTTGAACCGATGTTCGATGGCCTCGGCCATAAGGATGTTGCTTCGACTATCGTCGAAGCAGTATCTGTCGAAGTTCGAACGAGGTCGAACCGATGTCGATGGCCTTGGCCATTAAGATGTTGCTTCGACTGTCGTCGAAGCGGTGTCCGCCGAAGTTCAAACGAGGTCGAACCGGTCGATGGCCTTGGTCATTAAGATGTTGCTTCGACTGTCGTCGAAGCGGTATCCGCCGAAGTTCGAACGAGGTCGAACCGATGTCGATGGCCTTGGCCATTAAGATGTTGCTTCGATTGTTGTCGAAGCGGTATCCGCCGAAGTTCGAACGAGGTCGAACCGATGTCGATGGCCTTGGCCATTAAGATGTTAATTCGACTGTCGTTGAAGCAGTATCCGTCGAAGTTCGAACGAGGTCGAACCGATGTCAATGGCCTTGGCCATTAAGATGTTACTTCGACTGTCATCGAAGCAGTATCCGTCGAAGTTCGAACGAGGTCGAACCGATGTCGATGGCCTTGGCCATTAAGATGTTACTTCGACTATCGTCCAAGCAGCATCCGTCGTGGGATGGAGATTCCTGTTCATTCATTGGAGACTTCTGTTCATACAATGGAAATTTCTGTTCATTCAATGGAGATTTTGTTCATTCAATGGAGATTTTTGTACATACAGTGGAGATTTCTGTGCATACAATGGAGAATACTGTGCCTATACTGGAGAGTAACGTGCCTATGATGGAGAGTAACTAGTGTAGTCCCTTCACTATATTGGCCCATGGCTCGTGTCGATTGGCCGATATGGTGAATCTACGCTCCTGTTCCACCGGGTATCCCCTTTGCCGCCTCGTTAAAAACCTCCCCGAGAAAACCCAATTGGGACAAAACTCGGGTCAGGGAAAAAGAGTACGACTCAGGAGATGCCTTTCAGAAGTGGAAGTATTTGAGGTGGGCGACGTTCCAATTGTTCTGGAGCGGTTTTCCTTCCATCGTTTTTAGTTGGAATGCCCCTTTGTTCGCCGCTGCAATGATTTTGTATGGTCCGTCCCAATTGGTTCCCAATTTCCCTTCGTTCGGATCTCTTGATGCCAGTGTTTTGGCTTTGAGGACATAGTCGCCAACTTTGAGTGATCTTACTTTGGCTTTCTTGTTGTAGTATCTTTCCGCTTGCTATTTCTGGGTTGTCATCCTTATATGAGCCATGTCTCTTCGTTCTTCGGATTCGTCCAGGTCTTGTAACCTGCTTTCATCGTTATCTGCTCCACTGGTATGGGAATATCTCAGGCTTGGCTCTCCGATCTCGACGGGTATGACTGCGTCGGTCCCATAGACCAGTGAATACGGTGTTTCTCCCGTGCTGGATTTAGGCGTAGTTCGGTAGGCCCATAATACTTCAGGTAATAATTCGGGCCATAACCCTTTAGTGTCATCGAGCTTCTTTTTCAATATGTTCAATATTATTTTGTTGGAAGACTCGGCTTGGCCGTTGGCGGCGGGATGATACGGGGTGGAGAGTATCCGTTTGATGTGCCATTTCTCGAAGAATTCTGTTGTTTTTCTTCCGATGAACTGGGGTCCATTGTCACATCTGATTTCTTTAGGGATGCCGAAGCGGCAAATGATATTTTTTCCATATAAAGGCGATGACCTCTTGCTCGCGTATTTGTGCGTATGCACCTGCTTCCACCCATTTAGAAAAATAGTCAGTCAAAACTAGAAGAAAGCGTACCTTTCCCCGTCCTGTCGGTAGAGGGCCGATTATGTCCATTCCCCACTTTATGAAGGGCCATGGCGAGGTGACTGAATGGAGGAGTTCCCCTGCCTGGTGTGTCATGGGGGGGTACTTTTGGCACTGCTCGCATCTTCGAACATAATCTGCTGCCTCTTTCTTCATGGTAGGCCAGTAATAGCCGGCGCGGATGAGGCATCAAACAAGGGCGCGGTTTCCTGTGTGGGCACCGCAATGGCCTTCGTGCACCTCCTCTAATACTTGCCTTGTTTGATGCGGCCCGAGGCATTTGGCAAGGGGACCTCCGAATGTTCTTTTGTAGAGATCGTGATTGATCAGGCTGTATCGGGCAGCCTGTACCCGGAGTTTCTTGGCTTTTTTTTTGTCGCGTGGGAGCGTTCCATCCTGCAGGTAGGATACAAACTGGTTGTGCCAGTCCCAAGTCAAGTTTAAAGAGAATACCTCGACATGGTCGACGACCGAATGGAGGAGAGTCACCACATTTTCTTTGTTGATATTCTTGGTGACTGCGGCTAGTTTAGCTAGGCTATCTGCCTCAACGTTTTGTGCCCTGGGGATTTGTTCAAAGCGACATTCGTCGAACTCATGCATCAGCTTGCGGATCTCTGATTGGTATTTTTGTAGCCGTTGTTCTTTGATTTGGTAAGTTTCGGTGACTTGATTTACGACAAGTTGAGAGTCGCAGTGGAGGATGAGTCGACGGGCCCCGTATTTGATGGCTAATTTCATGCCTGCAATCACAGCCTCATACTCGACCTCGTTGTTAGTCATCTCGGGGCATCGTATGGACTGGCGAATTACTTCGCCCGTAGGGACCTCGAGGACGAGTCCCAGTCCCGATCCCGAGGCATTCGTAACGCCGTCAGTGTAGAGGGTCCAGAGGTCAGTACGAGCAGAAGCGCGGAGGGCCTCTTGTTCCACCTCTGGCAGTATCCCTGTACTGAAATCGGCGACAAAGTCGGCAAGTACCTGTGACTTGATGGCGGTTCTTGGGTGGTAGGTTATGTCATGCTCTCTGAGCTCTATGGCCCATTTAGCGAGCCTACCTGAGAGCTCGGGTTTGTGTAGGATGCCTCTTAGGGGGAAGGTTGCTATTACCTTTATGGGATGGCATTGAAAATAAGGTCTGAGCTTTCGTGAAGCCACGACCAGTGCCAGAGCCAGTTTTTTGAGGTGGGGGTACCTCGTTTTGGCATCTACGAGTGTTTTGCTGATATAATAAATAGGGGATTGCGTACCTTTGTTTTCGCGGACCAAGACGGCGCTGACAGCGACTTCGGATACTGCCAGATACACAAGCAGGCACTCGCCGGGGTCTGCTTTGACGAGCAGTAGCGGCGAAGATAGATATGCTTTCAATTTCTTCAGGGCCTCGATGCATTCTTCGTTCCATTGTAGTCCATGATCTTTCTTTAGCATACTGAAGAATTTGTGGCATCTGTCCGAGGATCGCGAGATAAACCTTGATAAGGCGGCTATTCGCCCCGTTAGTTTCTGTACCTTTTTCTTGCTGTACAGAACCTCGGGTTTTGTGTCTATAGCCTTAATCTGGTCTGGGTTGACTTCGATGTCTCGTTGCGATATGAGGAAACCTAGAAATTTTCCCGAGGCTACGCCGAAGGCGCATTTTTCTGGGTTCAACTTCATCCCATACTGCCTCAGTATCTCGAAGGCCTGCTTTAAATGGTCGATATGGTCTTCCTTCTTAACCGACTTCACTAGCATGTCGTCGATATAGACCTCCATTGTCTTACCGAGTTTTTCTTTGAACATCTTGGTGACCAACCTTTGGTATGTTGCACCCGCGTTTTTCAGTCCGAAGGGCATCACCTTGTAGCAGTACGTCCCTTGATGGGTGATGAAAGTTGTCTTTTCTTGGTCCTCTTCGGCCATTAAGATTTGGTTATAGCCAGAGTAGGCGTCCAAGAAACTTAACAGCTCGTGCCCCGCTGTTGCATCGATCAGCTGGTCGATATGGGGCAACGGGAAGGAGTCTTTTGGGCATTGCCGTTTTCAACATATATACACATATATATTCAGAATTTTTGACGAGGTTAACGGGGTTCAGTGACCCCTCTACTCAATACATAGGTCCACTCTGCTGATAGGGTAAATAAATCTTTATGAGTAATTGTGTATAATTTATATCCAAATTTCTATTGTATGCAGCTTTATCCTGCATTTCTGCAAGAGGTTGTTTCCACGGCTCGAATTCGTTACCTCCTGGTCACATGACATCAACTTTACCAGTTACGCCAAGGCTACCCTTCAACGGACTCAAGCTTTAGTAAAAGAAAAACCAATTTAAATCCATATTAAAAGGTCACAGAGAGCAGATAGTAAGAAGCATTACTTCATTTGGAGATCATGACTCAGTCATATCAAATTCTTTTCCTGCTTCCACTTTTCCTCTTACCTTTTATCTTTTTTCTCCTCAAACTTAACAAATCATCCAAAATACCACAACTTCCACCAGGACCAAAACCATGGCCAATCCTAGGAAACATTCTTCATATGGGCAAAATGCCTCACATAACTTTGACAACTTTTGCAAAAACTTATGGTCCCCTTATGTCTCTCAAACTTGGAACTAAATGTCTAGTTGTTGGATCATCACCTTCTGCTGCTATAGAAATCCTTAAAACACATGATAAAATCCTATCTGGTAGACATGTTCCAAATGCATTTCCATTCAAAAAATCAGAACTTGAAAAGTCATCAATAGGCTGGACTTCTGAATGTAACAATGAATGGAGATACTTAAGAACTTTATGTAGAACTGAGCTTTTCTCAGGCAAAGTATTGGAGTCTCAAGCTTGTTCGAGGGAGGAAAAGGCGATAGAACTCGTAGAATTCTTGAGATCAAAAGAAGGTCAAGTGATCAATCTTGGAGAGTTAATTTTTGCAACTGTGTTGAACATGTTGAGTAATGTAATGATATCTCAAGATATTGTTAAGTTGGAGAAAGAAATAGAAGATGGTGGGACAAAAAGTCTAATAAGGGAAGCAATGGAAGTAGGCTCTGCTCCAAATATATCTGATTTTTATCCATTTTTGAGTAAACTTGATCTTCAAGGTTTGCGCAGAAAATCTATGGTTTTAATGTCAAAGATTCGTTCTAAGACGTGGGAACGGATTGTTAAGGAAAGAAGGAAAAGTAAAGAGACTGGTTCTACTAGCCAACAAGATTTCTTGGAAACTCTCCTTAACAATGGTTTTACCAATGATGCTATCCATCAACTATTTATGGTATGTTTTCTCACTGTCTCTCTCGAATGAGAGCTTTGGCGTAACTGGTAAAGAGTCACGGGTTCGACCTGACCCGTGGAAACAGCCTCTGGCAGAAATGTGGGGTAAGATTGAGTACAATAGACCCTTGTGGTCCGGCCCTTCCCTGGACCCCGCGCATAGCGGGAGCTTAGTGCACTGGACTGCCCTTTCTCACTTTCTCTCAAAAGTTACTTTGTGAGATTCATTTTCTGGTCTAAACCAAGTTAGTAGCTTTAAGTAGTATTTGAAAATCATAGTGATCATTTTAGTCTTTAGCACTTCTCTTTTTGAAGTTCTTATATTCAATAAATTTGGAGTTCTCTATTGGGAAGTAGTATATAACAAGTTTCTTTTTAACCCTGTGAAGGAGTTATTCACTGCTGGTACAGACACCACTACCTCAACAATTGAGTGGGCGATGGCAGAACTGATTAAATATGAAGAGTCAATGGAGAAACTTCAAGATGAGCTCGGGAGAGAACTCATCGAAAGTGATTTCCCAAACGAATCTAAACTGCTGCAGATGTCCTATATTCAAGCATGTGTAAAGGAAACACTTAGGTTGCATCCTCCAGGTCCATTTCTACTTCCACATCGTGCTATTGAAACATGCCAAGTGATGAGTTACACAATTCCAAAAGACGCTCAAGTCTTGGTTAACATATGGGCCATCGGGAGGGATCCTACGATATGGAAAGAGCCAGAGATGTTTCGACCACAAAGGTTTCTGAGTTCCAATATGGACTTCAAAGGGAATGACTTTGAATTCTTACCATTCGGTTCAGGAAGGAGAATATGCCCAGGCCTACCTATGGCTGCAAAAAGTGTTCCTTTAGTCCTTGCTTCACTTGTTCATTTCTTTGATTGGGAGCTTCCGAATGGAAAATGTTCCATCGATCTAGACATGAACGAAAAGTTTGGAGTAACACTGCAGAAGAAAGAACCACTGCTTCTAATTCCCAAAGCTAGAAAATGATAATTGGGATACTATCAATATCTCTTATGTGCGCTATCTCCTGCATTGTGCATAAGCTCGCACGATGATACAGAGGCAAGTTAGTCCTACATTAAGAATACGATCATGTGCCCAAGTGCATAAAAATTTCAAGTGGAAGTATTTTACAATGGAAAGTATCTTAAACTACTTTAAGTCTTTTATATGCAGATATTTGCTTTGATGTTAAGCAATTTGCTGTGGCAATTTCTGCATTCTTGTGAGCCTAATTACAAGATACAGAGTATTCAAACATACTAAAACATAAAATAAAGGCGAAGGAATTCATAGTTAGACTGGAGAAATTACTAAAACAATCACTTCATTGAAAATGATATCTGATATCTTCTTGCTACAATGAGATGAATAACAATAATGAATGATTACAACAAAGAATACATTGATGAACTTGACTGAATATAACTAAGAAAGAATACCCCTCCCTAGCTTATAAAGAATAAATACAAATATGAATGAAAGGTACAAACAAAATGAAGCCTAGAATTTTGCCCGAGGAACTAGAAAACCTGTACCTGATCACCTATGCAATTTGATCTAAAAGAATTTCTTTTCTTACTCATTTTGACAAATCTATCTGCAGTAAAGAATGAAAGAATGACTCTACCTACAAAGAATTTGGTAACCTTTTTCCTGTGTACGAAAAGAACAAAGATTGTCTGTTTAATGAACGAAGAGCTTCGACAAAAGACCAATCAATCAACTTAGCTGATAATAAGAGGATGAACTTCCAGCTGCATCAAGGGGCGACCACGCGGAGACTGTGCATAGAGGCTGGTCTAACCAACTCAATGTTAGTGCAGCGTCGTCGTTCCCCTGCTTTATGACCCTGTAGTCCTCACACGAGTACATCTTCAACAGCATTTGACTCTGAAGCAGTTCCCTTTCTGTAATCCCTGTGCATCTGAAACCCCCTTGTTCCATCAGCTTCCGCCATTTCCCAAAACATTCATGCCTTTCAGTCCTTTCTCGTCCTTCACAAGCAATGATATTTCTAATATCGCGAGCAAACAACTCCTCTATCTTAATCCTGGCAGGGCTCTCTAATGGAAGGCTGAAACCAATAGAATCAAAAACAGCAGCATAATATCTGAGTGAGTTGACAAGTCTTGCTTCCAAGCTAGGCTCATTGTGCTCAGCTTCTTGCTCTGCCATCAGAATAATGGTGGGATTTGTGCTTCTAATCAATCCGAGAAAATCCCTCAGGATCCCACCAGAACTATCATATAGAAGCCTATGCATCTGTAACGCACAATTCACTGCAACACTTTCTCCTTCTTTCACATGTAACATCCATAGCCTCACATCTTCTAACCTGTCAACAACTGGATGGAACTCGAAAGCCAGATTCAACGCCTCAGCAAACTCGGCAAGTCTATCTCCTGTTTCAATAAGATCCTGCTTTGATTCTCCTATACCAGTAATTCTAACATGAGTGGGTGGGTTTGGCCTAGAAGCCAAACTCTGAAACAGACTAGGCCACTGCAGCCCTTGCTTAATGTCAAAATCAATAATGTGAACCCGGTCTTTGCCTTCAAAAGCTCTAAGCAGAATCTCATTTGATGTGAAATGGATGAACTTTGTAATTGGACTAACCTGATTCAACAGCCTCAATGCTGTACTGCTGTCATCATCTAAACGATCAAGGTCCCGAGGGGGTATAATGTGAAAGATGTGGGGCCAAATCCTTGCAACACGCAAAGCTAAAGCCTCGGTGAAGTAAGCAGTTAGCCGGCTTATTGGAGACCCTCTTGGAGAGGCAAGCTCCCCTAGCCTAGCTATCAATTGATTAACACCGGTGACATTCCTCGAGCCAATTGCTTCAACACAACTCACAAGTAAGCTGATCAGCTCAGCTGCATCATCCTCGCGATGGTTGTTATGCCCATTATGTGCCGCTACAACTTCACTCCTGTCATTTGGATTAGGTGGCCTGGAACCATTGCCTATTTCATGCTCCCCTGGATTCTCATTAAGCCTAAGAACCAAGCCATGACTGTCTAAAGAAGCACTTGATACTGAGGCCTCCTTGGCCAGATCTTGACTTGTTGAAACATTCTTATCACCAAAATTAGTAATCTCAGTCACTATAGAATCAATCCAAGGATTGTTTGACAAAGGTGGAGGCGGTGATATCACTTCACTAGGCACATAACATACACTCTCTTCCTCTCCTGAACAAGAAAATGAGAATGGTGCTGCTGCTTGAACTGATCGCGACACGTTGTAACCTGATTGTAACCAGAAATTGCCACCACCCAATTGTCCCAAACTCAGACCATAGCCTTCTACTTCTTCTGAGCAATCAACTGATTTCCTATTACCCTTTTTCCTCTTAGCTCCTCTACTCATGCAGTTGTCATCATCAAAACATCCCTGATCAGCATACCTCTTCAAACTCCTACCTTTTTCCCAAAATTCATCTTTGCTTTCTCTCCTACCTTCTACATATGATGATGTCTGAGCAGTAGTCGGGGATGGTGGTAGACGAATGTTCTGCTTAAGAGAGCAACTACTGTTCTTGGTTTCAATAGGCTTATCAACAGAAAGGCTGCCTACTGGCCTAATAGATTGGGACCTTGGGTTGTCTTTTCTACCAAAACTACATGGCAAATCCAATCTTTGTGTGCTCATTGAAGGAAAATTACAAGCTTGAAATTGTGCAGATGCTTCACTCCTCAATCTATGCCTAGGGGACAACAATGTAGAAGAACAACCAGCCAACATACTTCACACCCTTCCAATATGTTTTTTCCTTTTCTTTTCAACTCCAACTCACCCACCCTTTTTCCTTTTCTATGTCTCTGTCTCTCTTATCTTTCTATATATATATTTTCACTATGAAATATACAAGTTTGTTAAACACTAAAGTTCTATAGAGGATTCAAAGAGAAACAGAACAATGTCTATATGTGAGTGTGTGAAGTTCCAAGAAAAACAAAAAATAGGAATCCGATGCCAAAAAAAAAAAATCAAAACAAATGTGATATCTGTGTGTCCTATATGATGATCTTATAAATCTGTATAATAATATATTTCTATATGCAACAAAGAATGGAATCAATCAGCAACAAATACACACTTCTTTAAAGAATCAAAGAATTGGAAAGAATTCTCCTATTATCAACAATTTTAACACCTACCAAAAAAAATCATCGGATTCCAATACATTCAGACTAGAACCAAACTCATTGTCTAGAAATTTGATTTTTCAAAGGATTGAAAGAAGCTGAACTCACACCATGAATGTAACAACTCTGGACACATCTTGAAACGCAGCAGAAAAATACTTGTCCTTTTTACGACTGGAGTTGGACGTGATCAAATTTTGGCGCTAACAATCCCATGCTACAATCTTGAACCAATCAACAGCTTAAAAATTGAATCTTTAACACCCCCATATCATCAAAACAAGATTTTCAAACAACCCCACAAGAAAATAAAATCCTAGTTGAAATTTAATCAAATTAACAGTACCCCAACAACCCCCCAAGAAAACCACCCCAAGATTTCTATCAAATACCTTCAAGCATGCATGAAAACAGACAAATCAACTGTCATCATCATAAAGAGAAGCTGAAGAAAAAATTAACTTCCTAAAGCCCCACTACCCAAAAAAGCTAAACCCCATATACAACTGTGTTTTTTATATATTGAGAATGAAATTTAACTCTCCTCTAGTTTTTTACTTCTCTAGGGAAAACAAATGATGGGCTTGGTAAAGATGATGTTGGAGAAAGGGGAATGAGAACATTGATTTTTGACCGTCAGATCCTCATCAAACGGTGGGGAGAGAAGAAGAATATGACCGTTGTAAGATTTGTCAGTAGAATATGACCGTTGGAGGGAGTTGGTATTATAGGGAACAGTGTGTGTGTGTGTGTGAAATTAGTTTTTTTCTTTTTGCTCTTTTAGAGGGTGCAGTTGAAGTCACGTCCCACGCACGTGCATGTCTCATAATACCCGTTTTTTACTTGACCGTTGCTTTTTTTTCTTTTAATCAGTGAAGTGAAGTTTCTGGGAGATTACAATAATTAACTGACTAATCAGGTAATTACAGTATGCATGCAGTGGGGTAGTGATTAATATTAGGGTTATTAATTTGATAGCGTTAATTATGGACATATCGATGAGGACAAAGAATGGCCAGTTGCAAAAAGATTCGTACTTTGTGTCGGAGTGATGTTTGTTTTATACTACTTTCATATTATGTATATTTTAAGTTTTTTTTGGGAACCAAATTGAGTTTGGAAAACGACTAATATCTGGTTATAGAAGGAGATGTGATATGTAAACACGCACATAGGCACCTTTCTTTGAAGAAAAAAAGGTAGCCTGGTGCATAAAGTATTCCGTATTTACGTTGGGTTCGAGGAAGGGCCGCATCTCTAAGGGTGTGACGTAAATAGTCTACCTTAAAGCAAGCATTGGTGGCTACTTTCACGCAGAGGTGAATCCAAGATTTCAAGAGGATGGGTGCACTATTGTGAAGATGTGGGTTTAGAATTTACATTTGACGAGTTTAACTTTAGTCTCTTACCATAAACCCACTACACATTTGAAATTATAGGTCCAAAATTGTATTCTTTTTGAAATTTTAGTTATTCACACACACACACACACACATCCAAAATTGTATGTATGTGTGTGTATATATATATATATATATATATATATAGTGCCGAAAATAAACTCTTCAGAGTGAGATTTGAACTGCCAATTTCACTTGTAGAGGTGCACCCAATAATAATTGCACCATAAGAGCCTTTGAGCATGGGTTCACGCACATAATTTTGAAGAATATAACATATACATGATTTAGGGTGAGGAGTATGGGTTCACGTGAACTCATATCCCTCAACTTGGATACGCCTCTGCTTCCACGACTCGAATCCATGACCTATAAACTGAGATAAATTTACTGTTGCTCTAAAAAGATTAAAAAAAAAAAACGTATGTTTTCATTTTAATAATTTCAGTTTTTAGATAAGACATTATTAGAGCAAGCAAATGCCTGAGTTAGAGTCTTGCCACCATCAGTTAAAAATACAATTTGTCACTTGCTTGGTTCAAGGAAAACAAAGTCGCACATAAGATAATGCAATGCGTGCATACCAATAATTAAATACATTTTTATAATAATTTAAACTTTTAAATAAGTAATCTCACAATACAACAAATGCAAACCACTGAAAAATCATTTTGACATTGTCAACAACTCTTGCTGCCGTTGTAGGCAGATAAGTCTTGGTCTCATTAATTTCATGTACAACAGTAAAATCCAAGAGTTGTGGAGCTCCTGGAGCAGAGCAATGATGATCGAGCATAGTAGCATCAGTTGATTAAAAAAAACTGACCAGACACATTTAACTCATTGGTATTGTTAACTAAGACTTTCGTCGGTTTAATATTTAGGTGACGAAAATTGGTGGTTCTTCCGATGGGCGATGGTAAAAACCCGGCTAAGATGCTCCGGGACTTTGGTAGAATAGTAAAAGCGGAACGCGAAATTTCAGTAGAATTGTAACAGCACGCGCTATATAGATTAAACACACGTCACGAGTTTTTAAAAAATAAAAGATGTGTGAAGAGAAATAGATGGAGGGGCACACCGTTATCCACAGAATTTCAGTTCCGTGCGTCACTTACTCTTAGAGCTTTCTCGATTATAAAATAAACCTGGAAGTACTACATTGGGATGTCTTTTTCGAACCGTGCACCTCTAACACATGAAGCTTTCTCAGTTATGAAAATAACAAGACCCCCAACCTGGAAGTTATTCCACTAGGATGTCTTACCATTCTCTAGTTTCTCTTTTTAGAAATATATTGCTTGCTTTGATATGCTCATATTTCTCTAAAGCCAATCCATGACGAGCATTAGGGGTCGTTTGGTTTGAAGACAAGATAAGTTATACTGAAATAAATTATGCTGGAATTAGTGATCCTAATAATATTTTCTTATTGATTGTTTGGTCTACAGTATTAATCCTAAAATTGTTAATTTTACTGTTTTATCCTAAGGTTGAAGTGGCTCAGAGCAGGAAAGATTGGGCCTACTGGACTCTGGAAAACTCAGGTAGTTTCTCTACAAAATCAGCTTGGCAACAATTAAGGACATCTAGAAGTGAAACCTTCACTGGCAAGTTCTTGTGGCACAAAAGAATGCCTTTTAAGGTGTCTTTTCTGATGATGAGACTTCTAAAGAACAAAGTCTCGACAGATGAAGGGATTCAAAGAGTTGGTATCATGATTCCCTCAAGATGTAGTTGCTGTACCCTACATCAAGAGGAAACAAGCTCACATCTATGTGGTGATAGTAACATTGCTAGACAGGTTTGGATTTATTTCTCCAGTACATGTGGCATAAGACATACGACAAGATCAGTTAGGAGTTTGGCGATGCAGTGGTGGCTGACTATACCAAAGAACGAAGTGCATAGGGTTCTATTACAATGTCTCCCATTTGTAATTTGTTGGGAAATATGGAAGAACAGGTGTGCAGCAAGGTTTGAGAATTTACATATGTCTAGTAGGCATATCATACGGCAGGTGTGTCACTTAATGTCATTGATTCTGCAATGTCAGTTCTCTAAGTTGAATTTACCTGTAATATGGGAGGACAAGTGTGCTTATGTGGAGAAATTACAACAAGTTATCCACAGTCAATTGGTGATATGGTCCAGACCTGAGGAGGGGTGGATGAAAATGAATGTAGATGGCTGTAGCAAGGGTAATCCAGGAAGTGCGGGAGGGGGTGGCATAATAAGGGATCATCGTGGCCTCATGATTGTAGCATTTGCTGATTACTTTGGTCTTTGTAGTAACAATGTGGCTGAAGCTATGGCAATTCTTCAAGGATTGTGTATCTGTATTGATAGAGGATTTCTTAAGACTATTGTTGAATCTGATTCTCTTATGTTGGTTAATATAATCAATAAGAAAGTCAGACCTCCATGGCAAATTCATAGCATCATGGCACAAATAGGAGAGTTGATACAGAAGGGATCCTTCCTTTTTGTTCATGTATTCAGGGAAGGAAATGTGATTGCAGACCAAATGGCAAGTTTGGGTGAGAAAGTCAGGAACCAGATTGTCTTCACTGAAGATCTTTCTTTGCCAAGGCAAGTTAGAGCTTACTTGAAGCAAGAACAGGATGGCTTCCCAAATTTCAGATTTAGGCAAAAGAAAAATCTATTCTGTTAGTAATGGCTGAGATGAAGGATCTTATATATGTTATACACTTCAACTGTTTTGCTTTGTGCTTTATAGTTGACTCTTCAAATATTGTAATGGAGGAGTCCTCCCATATCTTAGCTACAACTCTTTTGCATTTTTGCATAGGAATGCCTAGCAGTTGCATAGGAATGCCTAGCAGCACTGTTCATCATACTCTGGAGGCTATGGTTTATGTCCTCCTCCATGTACTGTTATTTGATTTATATACAGGTTAGGGCTACTCCTAACTCCCACCAACCTGGTGGATCGTTTGAAAAAAAAAAAGTCCTAAGATAACTTATCCTAAGATTACTATTCCACCATCCGGCAGGCGGCAGGTATAAGTTATCCCCCAACATTATTTTTAATCCCGGAATAATCGAAACAAGGGATTAAGACCGCACTTAATTTTTATCCCAAGATTCTTTTTATTTATGTATCAAACCAAAATGACCCCTAAGTTCCGGATATGTCTCATGGCTCACATAGCAGGTCATTCCAGCGTTATCCTCAAACTACCTTCCCAGATTACTATTAAGCGCGCACAGGACCGAGGCCGTGAACTCTTGAGTAGCCATCCTTGGTGCACCCTGAAGACCATTTGCAGCCATACAAACTACAATGACCTAAACAACGAAAACAGTAGCAACCATTTCACGAGCTTCGCAAGTTCTTTCAATTTTCAAACAAACAAATATTTCCAAAGAAAAGGCACCATGAATCATTGTCATACTCCTCACCAAGGTAATCATTTGGCGTTTTCCTTACCAACCAGATAATTAGCAGCCGCGTTTACCAACCAAAACAAACCAACCCACGAACACCATTTTCACCCATGTATAATCTACGTCTTTAGAAGCCATTTGAAACTACTTTACAGAATAAATAAATTATATCATCTCCAGATACAGCGCTTCTTGTTTGCTGGATAACCCCAGTTCGTCCAGAGAGAGGACACTCTCTCCATCACTGAAAGCACGCCTAGGATAAGGTCTTACCTGCATGTAGGACATTGTATTAGCAGGTATTCAATATCTCTAGTTTTTACAAAGCAAACAAAATGGTATAACTAATCTACGAAATAAATACTAGGAAGAGAACTACCAAATCTTCTCTCTCTCTTCCACACCCCAAAAGCACAAACTATGTGACCATTTCTTTAGAAGAATTAAGTGCCCGTTTAAAATGTATATGAACTTTCTGCAACACATTACTTCACTAGACACACTTAAGTCAAAGTGGAAGTTCCCAACCATTTTGAAACAACTCTTCAGCAAAGAAACAACAACAACGACATACCCAATGTGATCCAACAAGTGGTGTCAGGGGAGGGTAAAATGTACCCAGACCTTACATGTAAGGTAGATAGGTTGTTCCCGATAGACCCTCGGCTCAAAAAAAGTATTTTCAAAACAGGTTTGAAAAATACAAGAGTAAAGAAGCTATGACGAAAGTAAAAAAAATTATGATGAAAGTAAACAAGAAAGAAAAGTATTGACAGCATAATAAACAATATTAGTAATAAAATTGAAGAATAAGATAATAATAATAGCATGATGATAATAATACCAGTAAGGAGAAGAGAGAGCAGATAAGGTGCTCAAACCTAGGGGTGTCAATGGATCTTTAAAAACCGGCTAAAACGACCGAACCGTACCGAACTGATTATTAGGTTTCTTTCAATAAAACCGTAGGTTTTTACATAAATTTATAACCATACCAAATAATAGGGTCGATTTTAAATTTCATAAAAATAAACCGAAAAAATACCAAACCGTACCGAATAACTTTATATAGGTTTCATATATTTTATATATTAAGTTTAAAACTAACAAAGCATTATTTTTTTTCCTTAGGTCCATGGAATTATGGAAAATGGCTATAAGTGACCAAGTAATTAACACCATCTGTTCTGCTACTCTTATTGAAACTAAATTAGTTCTAACATCTTGAGTAGCAAGCCACAAGGTATTGGATATCTTTCCTCTCGTATGATTTAGATTACTCTTGTTGGATGCTAATCTTCTAATAAACTCTATTCTTGAGTCTCAACTTGATTAGTATCTTTCCACTCGTGTGACTTATAATTTCTCTTATTTTTGCTTAATTTATTTTATGATACTATAGAATAGTGGGATGAATCTTTATTATGGACATCTTGATTCATCACTTTTTTAAATAGTAAAACTATCTAGAGAGCTTATCCAAAGTCCTACGTAGTAAACATTCATCGCAGTCTAACTTCTACTACCGATTGTTACATGACGTTTTAAAAAAATACCGAATTGTACCAATACCGAAGAGAAACCTAGATGATTGGGACGGCTCCGAAAAGTCTAATTTTGGTCATGTAAAGTGGAAAAAAACGAAAAATAGGTATGGTATAAATTTTATAAAATAACCGGCCGAACCGAACCATTGACACCCCTACTCAAACCCTAACAAATAGAACACCACCACTTAGAATAACTAGCTCCAAAGTTAAAGAGTTACCAATCTATATGTGCCGGGCTTGACCGCTCTGCCAACATCAATGTAATCGAAAAGATACTGCAAAGCACACATTGATCCAGTGAAATCATCTTAAAATCATACCATAAAACCTGATGAAATATGTCTCCCAAACACTAACATACCTGTAATCTATCAGATTTGAGAAAGCGCCGCCCTCTGCGGCTGCCATCTGGCATACGTACAACAAGATTCACAGCATTCTCGTTATCTGCTGTTGGCTCCTGAGGAAGTGAAGCTTCTTTTGCTGCTAATTGTCTCTCCATTTCCTGATCAATAACTGAGTCTGAGATTCTAAAGCCAGCAGAATATCTATACTTAACCAACTACAAAGATAAGAATTCCTTTGATCTTCAATTTATATAAAATCATAGAAAAGGAAAAATGAAAAATTTTGTCACCTAAAGGATCCAATCACGTTTGCGCGCCCATGCACAGACAAACAAAAAGAGAGACTGGGAGCATATTACCCAGGTAACTGAAATGATAATCTTGTTCAAGAAGAATACTGATATAAAGTAGATAGAGAAAAGAAGATTAAATGACAAAATCTGCACTACCATTGAAGTTCATGGGGGAAAAAGTGCTCGAGTTTCTGTTTTCCCATTGTTATCTCCCTTTTAGGCAGAAAATTAGTACTTTAAAGTTCATACCTTTTCCTCCTCTGCTTTCCTTCGCGATTCCTCCTCTTCCTGCCTCTTTTCTTCAAGAGCAGCTTCAGCTTCTTCCTTGGCCTTCAATTCCTTTTCTCTATCAGCTTGCAATGCAGCGTGATATTCATCATCCTAAGTACAAAGATTAGAACTGGAATCAGTGAAAACTAGCCAATTTAATTGCAGCTGAGGGCTTAAAATGTTAACCTGTTGTTCCCGAAGTAAACGCTGGGCCACAAGAGAGGGTGACGGGGGACGAGGCATGCGCCATTGATAAGGACCCATGGGTCCCTCAACACCATTCTGCATAAGCTGATGAGGTGCATTAGGCAAACGATATCCACTACCCTCAGGTATTCCACCAAATAATGCAGCCTCAAGCATGACAGCTTCATCGTGTTCCAGGGATGAGATGCCGCCCCACTTCAAAGAAAACAAATGGAAGTATAGCATAATCGTAGTCCAAAGCCAAAGGAGTATATATGTTACACAACATCCGCCACTAAAACAGGGGGGAAAATACCTCATCAGAAGGGAAGTCAGCCCCGTTTCTCAGGGAGTGGTTAAGATTATCATGCTGTCGAGGACTTGATAATGGGCTAACAACATGCTCTTCGATATCTTGGGCTGTTTCAGAACCTGAAGATATGGGTTTTCTTCTGCGCCAAACCAGTGGTTCCTCTTCCAAATCTTCAGCTTCATCTGGGACGGATGAACTCCCCACCTCTGATCTAAATTGCCTGAAGAGACTAGTTAGATAATCCAAAATGCAGAAACATGCTCTCTGTACTCTCACAAGTACATAACATGCAGGGTAGGTGTAGGTTGAAGCAGGGATGCCCCACATGCAAGTGAGAGACTGGTAAGCCATGTGTACAAGAAGATAAAGAGAGAAATTTTATCATCATAAACGAAGATTCCAGAAAATAATCAGTACCTTCCATTTGAGGTTATAGATTTTCCACGCTCATCCTCCTCAGCTGGCTTGTAACCTTCTGGTTCTGATATAGCTTTGCTTCCTAGTTCATGAATCGCTTTCTCCTGCTCAGCAGTCTAAATTTCATCCATGTTAGCATGAGAAATATCAGAGAAGAAGAAAGTATAGCAATCAGTAAGATGAACCTTCAAAGACAAAGATACTGCATGCGCAAGTTGAGCATCCTCTAGATGAGACTGCCTTGGTTGAGGCGTTGGATCCCTTAGATCCTGTGGCATGACAAGGTAACATCAACGTTGAAAGCGAAAGAAGCTAAAAGGATGTCACAACTAGCAATATCTATTACATACATTATTGACATCAAGTTGTTGGTTTGACATTTCAGCATCACGTTTGGAAGCTTCAATAGCAGCACGAACCATTTCCTCCTCAATATCATTGGTATAGTCAGGCAAGACATTGTCACCAGGAGCACTCGGTCTTGAAAACGCTGCTGTAGAGTCGCCGTCAAAGATAACGTCATTTGTTCTATCACGATGCCTAGCAGCATGTGTTGACAGAGGACTTGGAACTACTTCGTCATCATCGTCATCAACTATGACAGTCCCACGTGTTTCTGGGCCATGGGTCTGCTCAGTGTCTGTAACATCCTCGATAATAGGAGCATTTCTGGAATGACCAGATTGTCCATCCCCATCCTTCACCTCAATAGGGATCTCTCTTACTTGTCTCGGATGTGAAACAAATGGAGCACGGCTTGTAAGATCGGTGTCAAACATACTTCTAGTGAAATTAGGATCAAGAAGGGAGAAAGGATTTGGACTTCTAGAAGAGGAAAGAACTGAAAAGGGAGGTCCGCGAAATTCCTCTGTAATTGGATCATCTATTTCCATAGCATCCTCATCTGGAGCAGCAGCAAGAGGTGCTGCATGTATTCTGCTTAATCAGAAAGAACAAATTCGTAAGTAACTGACAGTATGTAAGATCATTTTTTTTTTGAGGAGTAAGATCATTTTAGATGCTAACTCAAAAATAAATAAATAAAATAACCCGCAAACCAAAAAGCCCAATGTAAGAGATGGTGATTACTGACGAGACAAAGGACATGCAGTACTAACCTGTTGCTGTCCCCCTGATTGAAATGTGCATTCACAGCTTCATTCAGATCCCCACCATGCTCCTATCAACACAGCATGTAAGACTATAAAGCCATGCTCATTCAAAGAGCAAAAGAATCGTTATGGAGCTCCCATATCAACTGTTATGGTTCAAAGCATGCATCAAGTGACAATGGCTGAACATTTGCAAAAAAGTCCTAGAGATGGAAATGACACTAAAGTGCATCACCAACCTTATATCAATCAAGACTTGACAGAAGAAAAGCACTCGACCCAAAACTACTTTGTTACAAAAAAAATTCACGCTTGCATTTAAGCTTCCACTACAAGAGATGCCCTAGGCTTTCTGGTGGTGGGGAGTGATTAAGCAAAAGATGGGTCAATTTCCTGTCAGGAATCTTGTACCATGAGGGTATTGGAAGGATAATATGGCACTTTAGTATTTCATCATTAATTATGGGAGAAATGAAAATTCTGACCATCCTCATCAACTTCCTTGCAGTAGATTCTGGATCTATCAAGTAATGGCCAAGGGAGGCAGAAACCAAGAGCCTCTCAGAGCATTAAATTAATTTATTCAAGTAAACTTTTCAAAATATACAGAAGACAAAAAGACAAGACGACATTGTTTAATTCTCCTGAAATTTTATTTTTCTCGACTCTAATTTGATACTTCACATGTATGTTTTGAGCGGATCACTCTCCATTTCTCTCCCTCTCAGACCAGTAAAACGGGACTAAAAAGGAACCTACAGTGGAGCACTTATACATATACAGACATGTGTTTTTATTAGGATAGGGGAACCAAAATAGGCAGACATGATTTTATGGAAAATCACCTATTTATTATCTATTTATACTAGTAAGATCTTCTTTTCAAAATCAAGGTTTTCAGATTTCCACAGATACTTGTCGAATATCAGAATGCTTATTGTAACACGTGAACCCACCAAATTCATAAGCAGTCCACAAATAGAGATGTATTAGCCAGTGTTCAGATGAAGTGCGTTCTGCATCTGCCTGCATGGGACGTTTCCCCGCTAGCCATCATGTGGGTCTTGTGTAAAGAGAGAAATAGGAGAGCCTTTGATGAAGCAGAAAATGATTTTGTACATTTGAGGAATACCCTCTTATTCTTAGTTTCTTTTACACCCATGAGGTTCCGGCTTGTACAGCAGACTGGGTGACATTTGTAAACAACCGTACAATTGTGTAAGTTTTCTAGTTTTTAATATATGGGAGTTTTCTCCATATATTTACCTTAGAAAAACATCCGGTTGCACAAAACTGTATAACACTACAGACATAGCTCCAACTTAAAAACTACAAACCAGCAAAATTTAACACATCCCAACAAAGACCTATTCTCCAGAGCCCGGAAAATAAACTACAATAGACCAGTAAGAAACCAACTTTTCCTCATTACACTTGCAACAAAACTCACAACCGGCACACATGCGTGGATAACGACTTCGTCAAGTTCATATCCAATTGATCCAACCAAACATCGCTTAGTAAAAATCACTCCCTGCGTGACCATTTGTTTGGCACCTTTAACTTGTTGAGAGTCAATTTGACAAACATTTAGAGCTTAATTGGAGTTGATTTACTAAGTTTCTTATAATTAGAATTCAGATATTCATAAATTACAAAAAGCTACTAACAAATATAATTCTCCACATAGTTTGCATCTTGGTGAAACCAAAAGTGTCAAACTTTTTGAGATGGCGGAAGAGGATGATTATAGAGAGCAAATGTAAATTCTAAGTAATTAAACACTAAAAGGGCAGCCCGGTGCACTAAGCTCCTGCTATGCGCAGGGTCCGGGGAAGGGCCGGACCACAAGGGTCTATTGTACGCAGCCTTACCCTGCATCTCTGCATGAGGCTATTTCCACGGCTTGAACCGGCGACCTCCTCGTCACATGGAGGCAACTTTACCGGTTACGCCAAGGCTCCCCTTCTAAGTAATTAAGCATTACATGAGCTAAACGGAACTTAAAAGAGAAAAAGAAAATTATTTTCCATTATACTTAATCCATTTTTTAAAATAAAACTTAGATATTCAAAAACTACACAAAATTACTACAATTTTTTTTTATAACCGAGAACTTCACGAGGGCCAGCAGTGCAAGGTTGGAAACTCGTGGATAATGAGCAAGTCCCTCTACCTTCTCCAATTAAATACTATGATCTTGTCTATGACAGGGTTCGAACCTCTGATGTATGCCTACAACAGGGTTCTAACCATACATCACGCGCTAGGCTCTTACCACTAGACCAAAGCCCTGAGGCAAAACTCGTCATTTTCAATAGTATAAGCTAGTATTCTCCTCGCACTAAATGGTGAAAAGATACATTTCAAAATACCAATCAAAATTCACTTAGTTGAATCACAGAAAGCAAAATTGCTAACATTTTCGAACAGATGAACTAGCTGATCACTTTTATTTTTGATTGGTTGAACTAGCTGACTATATTTAAGCTAACAAAAATTAATTCTAAGCATTAAAATACTACCACTGAGTGAAAATCAGGAACTCAAAACAATCGCAGTAATCAGCAATTAAATTCCAAAAAAAAAAAACTTAAACTTGCTAATCAAACAAATTTAAACAACTCGCTAAACAAACCATAAACATCAGATGATTACAGCAGTAAAAAGGTCAGAAGCTGAAAAGAAGCCGAAACCCTTACGGTAACAATCGCAGTGAATCAGAACTAAAAAATAAATTTACCTCGAGTTTTTGAATAGCGGTGGTTTCAGAAACACCAGTAATGCTCATGAATGTATCGATTGCTTCTTGATTAGGTCTCGCCATTTTCTAGAAAATTCCTCCAAATTTTGCAGAATAAACAGAGATCTTTGTAAAACAACTGAAAGGAAACGTGAGAGAGTGAAATAGATATATAGATAGATATTTGGGGAAACTGGAAGAGCAGAAAGGAATATATTAAAGAGGGCTCGAGTAGAAATTCGGGGAGTGTAAGGGTTTTTTTGGCAAATAAGGTGAAATTGCTTGCTCTTCTATAATGTTCCAACTTACACGCCTTTGCCCGGAAAAAGAATATGTGACTCACACCCAATGTTTTAAAAGGCGGGGCGTGAGGCGAGGCGTAAGCCCTGAGACATGGAGCGTAAGTCCCATGAATCATTAAATTTTGTAAATTTTAAGGATTTTAAGATAGTATAAAATAAAAAATAAATATAAAAATTAAATTAAAATCACAAAATTATAACAAATAATCTATTTAAAATATTTATAAATTATAATTCAACTATGAATAATACGAAAAGTATGACATATATCATAATAGCAAATTAGCTGCAACATCGTTACAACTCAAACATCAAAAGTAATATATTCGATACGAAATCTTATACGTATCTCTTAATGAGTATTGAATCTTGAAAGAATTTTGATATTATAATTTGATATTTTTTTGTTGAGAAAAATACTCCTTTTATTTAATATGCTTTTATTTAAAAGAGAGTTTATATAAAAACATAATTCACAATTTAAATATGATTCTCTAGCATCATTTATTTTTAAGTTTCAACAACTTAATAAAGTGACACATAATTCACCTTACAATAACATAATAACTAATTATTTTTAAATAATTACTAGCTAATACTGAGCTATTAAATTAATAAGTATTATATCTTGTAAATGTGAAAAAAATAATATTTAGAAAAATGATTATAAAATAGTTATGGATATTATATAATAAAGAATAAAAGTTAAATAAATAGAATACTTTTTAAATTAGAAAGATTTATTTAAAATTTAACT